TATTCACACACATTTTTGGATGCAACGATATCCCCAAAAGTGTGAAGCGTTGGATCATCTGCCATTTGTCCCCAGACGGACAAAAAATGACTGATTAATCGATTGGCGAAGTTTAAAGTTTGGAGTTTACTGTACGGTGAGGGGAATCGGCGGCAGGAATCGGCGGAACGTGCGTCGGCCTGTTGATTCTTTGTAGACAGCGGCGGCGATCGTCGGATCGGGTAGGATGTGGACGAAAACAAGTTTACCGCTGCGGATGCTTATTGCCCGGACGAATTTTCGGGTCTCTTCTTGTGCTAGCGCGAATTTACAGTCAACTGCATCCGAGTGTGCGCAAAAAGCGGTCGACTTTTCGTTCCATTATGCTGAGGCGACTAATTTGGTTGTTGATTTTTGGGGAAGATTTCAGGCCGAAAGCGAAGCACGAACCAAACTCGTTTCGCCTATGCATCGGTATAAATGGCGTCGACCGGTGAGACGAAGAACATTAAGATTCGCGGCAGCTGATCATCGGCCAACATGCGGTGCGTCGCGCTGTCGTTTTTCCTCATCTCCTCATGTTTCGCCGACCTCTACTTCATGATCGAAAAGGCGAAGGTTTTTCAGTGTGGCGGAAGTAAGTGACGCTGGTGGTGCCTGCGGTCCGTCGTCCGTCGGGCACCGACCGCTCGTCTTTGCCTCGACTCTGTATTGTGCTAGTCACCCTGTTCCCCCTTTTCAGCCAATGCCATAGAGCTGAAAGAAAAGGACATCCGGGCGACCGACAGCCAGGGTCGCGAGGTGCACTATTTCAAGGCACCTGGCGAAGTGGTGGTCACCTTCCGTAACATCCGCGTCCGGCAACCGATGAAGAACCTTGCCGGAGACCTGAGCGTCAACCTGCAGGTGCCCCTCGGCGACTCACCTCTCGGCTTCCGCTGGGACATCCCTTATTCTGCCGTACCCCAGAAGAAGTTGATCGGCGGCTATACGTGCGATGAACAGTCCGGCTACATTAAGGAAGGCAACAGGAACATCTGGTGAGCTCTGTCCGTCGTCATCCGTGCACCCTGTATGTCTGACCTTCGGTTGTTTTAGCCGTTACTGCAATTTATGCATGACCACTGCCACGGTCGAGCAGAAACTGAGCACCAATCAGAGGTTCTTGCCGAACCTTGGCCGCAACGAAGAGAAGTTCAGCCGAATCTGCGGCAACATCAAGCCAACCGTCTACCAAATGACTCGGACTATCAAGCTTCCGTCTAAGGAAGAGCTGAAACGATTGGTCGAAGAAAAATCCAGCAAAATTGAAAACACCCTGAAGAACAAGCTGAACATTGGGGTAAGTGAAGATGCTTATGAATTAACCTTTGCATCTTAAAGGCAAGTACTACACCAGTGATCCATTCTCTGTAATTTTCGCTTTTGTGTACAAAAACCTGTCACTCTATTTAAGCAATACAGACTGCTCATTATTGCCATTACTTTTAGTCCCATGATTACGGAGCAAGTTAAGGAAGGAGGATTTTCAGTGTTGTACCCAAACTTTGCACTTGTTCCGCATTTTGGCTCTATAAAGGCAACTCGATGTACAGTTAAGCAGTTTTGTTCCTCATCGACGATGAGCTATCCTCGATTTAAATCAGACAGCGACCCGCGCAATTAAAATCCACGATTAATGTTTGGATTCGCACTGACCATTTTTAAAGCTAAGTACATGCTATAAATAGTTTTGTCGTCATCACTACTCGTTGGACAGTCGTTACATTACTAATCGAAATTTTTCATTTCATATGCAAAATGAAACATCCTCTGTGCCGTGAAATAGCAATATGCAATAAGCGAAGGCACAACAGACTTCGTGCCTTATAGAGCGAGGGTGTTTATCGTGATCCAGTGAAAATTCATTTGGACAAGAAATAAACTTGCTACGTCTAGAAGAAATGCAGCAAAGAAAAAGCTGACAATTACTGAATATACATGAACTGATGGGAAAGTTGTTTTGTACCGAATGATCGTGGTACTTCTTATGCAAATTGCCTCTGGGCTTGTCAACGTTTGTGCTTTAATATAGCGATGGCTGTCAAGTACATTTTGGATCATTAATCAAACCGAGGACCAAAGGACTGCGGCATGCTGAAAACTGGCATTTTCGCTTCGGAGTCAAGCCTCTGTAGCTTAGGCGAATGGTAGAGATTCAAAATCACCGAGGAAATTCCCTCAACTTTAGCCCCATGACGTGAAAGGAGTACCGGGTTCTGTAAAGCACAGATAGGTGGTAAACAATGCGTTCGTTTAAGCAATGAAACTGAAGAAGCAAGGCCATAAATTCTCTGAGTCATATGTTTTGCTCTTCATCTTCAAGGCCTTCAACGGTTTACTCCCCAACGAAACTTTCCATAAGAGGATCCCGACAATTTGCATGGGGCTAGATCTTTCTGTAGAGAACATTACACATCAAGAAATAAATTGGAGGGCGTCCGAAGAGCGATAAGAAAACTAGCTGACTCTACCTGAAGATGCTCCTTCACAGCTACAGTAACTTCGACAAACATAGTCTTCCGTCCAGAGACCACAACATGAACACGTGCGATGAGACAATGATATTAAGTGAGACTTTCGAAGTTTTATCATTCACTTGTTATTTCTTGATAAGATCCATCAGTCACTGTTCGGATCTTCTATTCCTTTCGCCCATAAGTTTTCATCTTCCGTTGACGGAGCAAACGTCCTTCTGAAACCCTGCATTCCTCACAGTTTGCTGAGGACAGTGGAAACAGTCTAAGTCATAAGGGTTCTCCTGTAGGTCGGTCTTTTCCTAAACAGAAAATTTAGAATTTTTAGAAGACGTAGGTAGCTGTGTGAAATATTGTCACTAGATCTTCATCAGATGAGCTTATTTTGAAGCTATGGCACACCTTCACGGCTGTCACGGGAGCTCAGGAGTATTCGTTTTACTGTACTTCGCCCTGTCATGCAGTTCTGTACTTTGTTCGTTGCGTGTTTTTCGCGATGACGATACTGAGGTCCAATTATTCATAACTCAATGTCCTGTATCACTTCATAACCATATTTTCAACCAAGTCAAAAATACTCATAAGCTCTACTTTTTCATGAAGCTATCTTGTGGTTAATGAGGTAGCCGAGTATCACCATTTAGGAAACAAATTAAGCGGATCATACTCATCACATGTGAATGGGAGTTTCCTTTAACAATAGGTATTTCCAACAAATAAAAACATTGAATGATTCACCAAGGAGATGAAAAATAGTTCTTGCAAGAAAAGTGCGTGACGAAATTTGGCACTCTAGCAGATGCAAACTTTTCCTTCCCTCTTATGGACTAAAAAGTGCGTATAAGGGCGTATTCTGGATATGTCTCTTCATTTGAAATAAATCAGTGCATGCTCGCTTACCAGTGGCTTTGCTAGCGTGTTTATTAGTACGTCTGTTGCAGCGTCAGCGTCCTTCAAGAAAGTGATGGGTTTGAAATCAATTCGCAGAATTGGAAAGGAAAATTAACTGAAAGAAATTTATTGAATTATTATATTGTAAAATAAATCAGTAGTACGTTTCATACGAATGTGAGATTTCGATTTATGATCAAAAAAATGTGATGGTGAGAACTTAGGATTTCTGTTGATCAGTATACAATAAGAAGGTGTTTTTTCAATTGAGCAAATAATGATGGTACACCTCACTGTTCCTAATGAGGATACTGGGGCTCTAGGGAACCAAACGACCCGAAAAGCAATGACACTGCATGTTCAAGTTCCAAGTAGCCGTGACCAGCATAAATGTTCATCCTAAGCAACTACAATTGGGGGGGG